TCCCCGATGCAGATGATGCAGAATATTATAATGACGCAATTCATGCAGTAGTAAATCAAAATCAAGACATGCAAAAACTTTTAAAGCAACAAGTTCATATAATCTCTGAAGCGATCTCTGGTTATAATAGGTCAGCATTGACACTTAAATTTAATGAAGAAAAGTTAAACAAAAATATAAAAATATTTAATAAATTTTCAAACTCAAGCATTATTAGAATAAATTCATTAACCTACGTTCAAACAGTAATGGATCATTTAAATTTATTATCTCAAATTACCGAAGAATTAGACGAAGAATTCGATGTTATTATTTCTTCAATATTATTTTCCAAACAAAATATTTTACACCCTTCAATAATTACTCCAAAATCTTTACGCGAAGAATTATTGAAAATTAATAATAAAAGAACAGATTTAGATTTTCCAATAGACCTAGATGATAATGCAAACATTTTTAAATACACGCAAATATGTTCACTCTCAGTAGTTTACACAAATAAAGTTTTAATTTATGCAATTAAGATACCACTAGTAACTAAAGATTTGTATCAACTATATAATTTGATTCCCTTACCTGTCCAATATCAAAACTCTTCAATATACTCCTATATAAACCCTTCTTTCCCTTACCTTATCCTAAGTACGACAAGAACGTATTATGGAGAGATGTCAGAATTATCGAAATGCCAGAAGATATCACCATCCGAGTACATTTGTTCCAACATCATCATACATCTAATCAAGGAAAGACCAACCTGCGAAACGATTCTGAAACTTCAAAAACCTGAAAAAATCCCATCAAACTGCGACACCAAAACCATGAAGTCAGAAATCGAAGTTTGGCATCCCCTCTCAACAAATCAATGGCTATACATCTTAACAGAACCAGTCACTGGGACCATAAGCTGCGAAAATTATGGTGCTTCACAAATCACAGACGTTGTACTTCAAGGCTCCGGTATTTTTACATTACAACCGAAATGTAAATGCTACACTACATCCACGTTATTGACTTCAACTTCCAACCAAACGTCAAATTATACAAACTTTATACCTTTACTGGACATCAATAAAGACGATTGCTGTATCAAGGAGCAATCCTACCTCAAAAATGAAGAAATGTCTTCAATCAAACTCCATAGCCTCAACCTCAATGAACTGAGTCATGCACAACATAAACTCCAACAGTTCGACGACGTCCTACAGAAAAATATAAACCAACCATTCATTATCAACCATTCCAAATGGTACAACATCTTCTTTGGAATAATTGGAACATTAGTAATGCTAATAATATGCTACTATGTTTGTTGCCGATGTTGTCGTTGCAGATTTCTAAACTCAATAAAGAAATATTTCAACCCCGACCAATGCCGTCACCTGGTTTGTATCAACAGCCACAATACTGTATCTGATAACCGAGTCAACCTGGATGATTTTCCACCTCACAGAAGAAGCTATCGTAGTCTCAACTCCGAAGCAGATGCAATGCCCATGGAGGACTTAGAACCTGTCTACACGGAGATGCGTAAGCCTCGTCTTTCGAAAAAATCTTTTAAAATTTAATTTCATAATTATAGTTTTGTTTAGGTATTATAATAATAACAATTTTATTTTAATTTTTATTTTATATATTGTACACTTTAAATTTTAATTGTATCTTTGTAGTTTACTTAGTGTTTTATAAGTTTTAGATTGTATAATTTAATTTTACCATTTAGTGTTTCAATAGGATTTTTAACCCTTATCGAAACACTTAACGGGGGAGGTTTGTTAGACCCTGTATATTTATTTGGTAACAGTTTGTTTTTCTAATGTATATTAAATAATCTTTTAGTCGTGATCTTTAGGGTTACAAAAAATAAGTCCATAAATTAAATTAATAAAAAGTTCAAATAGTTCAAGTAATTATTACGCATCATTAGATATTTCATAATTTCAAAGACAGCGCTTCTATTTTTCCATTAACTGATAAAAATTATCGCGCTGTATAAAAGCTCATTTTTAGAAACCAAAAGAACACTTACTATTTACTTTTCACTCACTTAACTTAAGATTTAACTTCTCGAATATTTATTATTCATTTAATTATTATGTAAAACTTATTTACAATAAACGATCTTACGAGTCAAAGTGTTAGTTCTTCGTATCCCAACATATGGAATTGACTATATCTCAAAAACTGCTCCAGTTTCATAATTTTTAATGGTATTTTCGGATTCAGAGGACAATTTTACATAAGAATTGGGATACCATGGTACAAGTGAAAAAGCAGCCACTAATAACTATTCATTTTTAGAGAGTAACTGAGCCCGTGACTGAAAACCTGTTGCTAACTTAAGTCAGTGGCTAAAGCGACATATGTGTATTTAAAAGATCACTTGTGTCATGAAACATGTACGATTTTAAAGGTAAGAGTAGAAAAAATAAAAAATCAATGCAATATTGGTTTTTTACATTTCAACAATTTCTCACTTACATGTATTATATTTGTACTGTATTTTATATTTTATAAATACAAGCATTACCACTAATTTTATAACTTTAAAAATGAGAAATTGTTCAACTTTTACTAAAATTTCCCTTTAAAACTAACACTTATTTTTAATTAAACGTTCAATATAAACCACTTTTTAAATAACTTAATAATTAATAAGTTAATTTTTCTGACACATTAACATCATTATCCACTAAGTTTCGACTCTTCTGCATCAAATTACTTACCGATAACTTTCTTCTCATCTTTCTCGATTATATTTACAGTTATCATGAGTCATTTTTTTTTCAAAAAACAACACCAATGGGACCATGGTAATTAATTACATATAAAAGTATCACATGTAGGTAACATTTCTGGGTCAATGCCGTGTCAAGACCGGAAATATTTTATGTTAGCTCACGTTTCACTTTTATGTGGTTTATATGTTGTATGGATTAAAAGTTACTCTAAAACTTACTTAACTTTTTTTATTATGCGAATTTTATACTTTTAATAAAAAACTTCTTAAGATTAGCAACAAGTCGTATTGAGTTTTAAATAAGGGTAGGTTTTCAAAATAGCTGTTAAAGTTTTTTTAGTTAAATATTTCTGGGTTTTTAAATGAATCCTGTTCATGACATTATTCTCTTAATAATTGAAACGCCTTTTTATGAAGAAACGAAACTAAAAAAAGACAGATATTGGGCAGTCCAACAATAAAAATGTTATCAAAATATAACTATAAGAAACAGGGTAAGCAATATTCTCGAACTTTTCAAATATCATGGTACTAAACCTGGCTATGCGGAAGCATTTATAAACAAAGCTTATTCTGTTGGCCTTTAATTTTATCAGGCCGCGTCAAATTTTTATTTTAATTTGTATCCATACTTTAATTTGTGTTTTGTTATTTTTAGTATATATTTTTTTATTTATAATGGTTTGTAGGGCTATCGGTCATTTTAAAAATAAACGTGAAAATTATTCGTATTTAGACTAAATTAACCTCATGTAGCCTTACCCTCCTATACACCCACGAGCCGCCACTGCTTAAGGAATTTGTTTGTAATTCTGATTGGAAACTATTTTTAGTAACCAGCAAGTATTTTTAGATTAATACTCTACCCCATTTTTGGCAAACAACAAATTCAAGGTGATATATTGAACCTGATGTTCAGAGTGTTAAAAATCATAATAGTTTATATTTCACAAAGGAAACTTACAGCTGTACACCAAAATCGAATTAAATGCGATAAGAAAGGGGTCATTCCATGACAAATGATACTAAGTGTGAAAAAATAAATATGTAAACATTCAATTTTCTTAGTTTCTTTAAGAAACTTTCTTGACCCATTACCGGTAATGTTCATAAGAAAAAAAATTGAACCTACACCTCGACAAAGTTTTTTGTTTTGAGTGCGTTCCACCGACAGATAGCTTTCGACCTATATAGGTCGAAACAGCTGTCTGTCGGTATTTGAAGTTGGTGAAACGCACTCAAAACAAAAAACTTTGGCGAGGTGTACGTTCAATTAAAAAAAAAATGTTCTTTTCGCATTAAATCTGATGAATTTTAAAAGAAAACATTTCAAATTACAAGTATAATGTGCGACAAAAAAACTGCAATTAACGCGCAATTTTTAAGTTAATTAGTCTTCAAAATCTGTACACCCGAAACGAAAAATCATATCAATTGTTTTATTATTATACCTTACAGATTGATTAGTCTAATAATTTGCTATCAAAAATAACGTTATGGTGGTAATGCTTTAAAATACTAACTAATATCTGAGCATAAGACTAATTTGATATGTGTTTTTCTTGATTAAAAGCAGTCACACCTCTTTTAAAGAGGTGTGACTGCTTTTCCGATGATGTTGTCGCACCTACCAAAATACCGAATACCTACTTACATTTAAGTCAATAATTATGTATCCAATTTTTGGCAATAATACCGATTTTACTTTTTGCCGATTTATCAATCCCACCCGAAGCTGCTTAAGTTATATTTAAGGATAATTCATTCCATTTATGTTTATTTGCTATTTACTTATTTTGTAGTACCTAGAAACTAATAAATCACCGATTTTGTCCAGATAAAGTGTTTAATTTTTGGACTTGTAACACCCGAAACAGAACCATGATCCGAAACAAAGTAAAACTTTATTTGTGACAGTGATTATGTGGTAGATGGTTAGTAAATATTATACTTTTGGAGGCCTGTAATTTTTAGGAATGTTTCCCTAAGAAAATTCGCTGAATTTCAAATAAATGTAACAATGGTCAGGATATGGAGGCTGAATCGTGAAACACCCGAAACGCACACTTTTTGACTTATAAAATCTTTATCCTTTATGCTAAACTGTACTAATTTTACAATTTAGATAAAACAACTAAAAACGTAATTGCTAAAATGTAATTTCAAAAGACTTGAACAAATGTAACACCCGCGAAACAATGAAATGACCCAAAGTAAACTTATATTACAAAATATGGTGACATTTTTTAAATAATTTTAGGTTTGGCGCAGGAAATCAAAGAATCTCCTACATGCAGCAGCAGCAGCAGCACAACGAGAACTACTACATCCGCAAACCAGCCACGAAAAAAACGGACTACAAGGTGTTCCACAAGATCCCGTCCTCGTCCATGCTTCTGACCAGTTACGACCCGTTCTACAGTCCGCTGCTGTCGCGATTGGACGCGGTGTTCCAGCAACTTGGCCTGGCTAACGACAAATCCCTGCCGGAAACGGAACGGTGCAGAGAACGACTGATATGCATGATGTACGCCAATCCGGCCAAATATGCTCCTTATAGTAATTTGGTTTCCGCACAGCTCAGCAGGTAAAATATTACTGTTATTAGCGCTTTTATAGTTAAAAGAGTAGGCAAATTTCTGATTTTTATCGCAAATCGCAAGACTTGGTGATACTGTACCCTATAGGGTAGTTCAAAAAATAAAAGTTTTAAATATTTTGTCTACACGAGGTTTTTTTTTATTTAACATCTAATTGGTAATCGGATAAAATCTGGAGCTTAAGTACACAAATCACATTTAACATTTTCGTATTCAGGGGACAATTTTACATGAAAATTAACTGCTAAATGTTTCGGATACAAATTGCTATTGAAGAGAATTATTAATGGCTGCCTTTTCGCTATGACAATTAATCATTTTTGACAAATTCATTTTTAAGAGTAGATATGTATATACGATATATATATATATAGATATGTATATACGAGCATATACACACAACCAAACTTATATATCACCCAGTACGAGAAATATTATTCCACTTAAAAAAAAGTGATTTGGAAATAAAAAGCACTTTATCTGCAACAATTTTATTACAAAAATAAAGAAAAATTTATTCAAACAAATTTTCTAAAGAACAGATTACAAATAATGCGAATTTATAAAAGAACAAACTTAACAATAAATTAGAATTTTGGAAGAAATGCAGTCACACTTTCCATTTTTTAGTGGAGAGTAGAAAATAGAGTTGGCCACTTAAATTGGTATTTGAAGCATTAAAACTGAAAAATTGGAGATTTGAGAAATGTTTTATTTTCGGATCAATCCAGAATTGGCCTACGATCAGACGTATTTTAAGAGACAAGCTAGACTCTGAGCTAGACGATCGATCCTTCAAGGCAAAGGAGGAGGTGTAATGTTTTGGGGTAGCTTTACGATTGGTTGAAACATTTCTAATCACCATTAGAAAATCCCTTAGAGGTCCAAGGTATGTGAGGTATTTAGTTCTACAACCCGTTGTAAGGCTCTGCAAAGGTGCTTTTCGTGATTTATACAGGATAATGCACCTTCATTTACCGGCAGAGTTGCCAAAAATTGTTTGGAAATAAAAGGTGTGTTTTAGAGTTCACTGTATCTTAATCGAATTGAGAACTTGTGAAATAAGGTTAAACTAATAAAAGCAAATTTAGAGAAGTGAGGAAATGTTTTCCACAAAAACCAAGTATTTCTTCTTATAAGAAATTTATAAATTTTAATTTTCCGTGAAGTTTATTCTTAGAGAAATTCACATTTTTTGTTATTTTTTTATACAAAATTTATTTTTTATCCAACACATGACAGTCCAAGACATTATTAATGTGATTTTAGACAAATAAACTATCAAATAACACACTAGTGTGTTATGATCCATAACTCACTAGTGTTTAAAGTAGTATTCTATTTATTTATTACTATTACAAGCAGAATTCACATTGATATTGAAATTAAAGGAAAACGCTAACGGTTTATTCGAATTTGAATTCATTGTAAAATTCGTTGGTTTATTGGAACCAGACTCTCCCATATCGGTACAGCTGCTGATAGTGCTGGAAGATGCCGACGAATTAGAACCTTGTATTATTTCTGCAATTTGTATTTTGTCATGCACCGATTCTTCTAGGTATCCTTCTGCTACCGCCGAGGACTTCCATCCTCCGTGACACTTCAAAGTAGTCTGCATTGGCTAAGAGAGTCGCCGAAAACCTTCTCAGGCAGTGACCGGTGTAGAGCGCTGGTTCCTCCAATTTTAAAAACATTGCAGTTCTTGGAGGTATCTTCGACAAAGTATTTATTCCCACACACTTTCGGGTAGACCTTCCATTTTTGTAAAAAATAAAAAAGCGGCTAGAACTAGTATTCTTTGGTCTCAAAGACATGTATTTTTTACACAAATTGATCGGGTTGACTGGAAATCCTTCTTTAAGTATGGTAAAACTTCTCAATTTCTTGGTTTTAGTGTCTGGCAAAACTACGTGAAAATATTTTCTATTTTTAAATTAACCAATTCATCGCACCTACAAGCACCGCTAATCCCCATTATCAAAGCCACTTTCATAAACAGGAACTCGTAGTCAGGAGCTTCGTTCAAAAACTTCTCTATTTCAGATCTTGGACTTCTTTGGTTTGTATCCCTGTGATTTGCTTAAAGCAAAAAGCTCGTTAGTTTGCTACATTTTGAAATGTCGATTTTTTTATAAAGGTGAATAGTCGAGCAAAGCATCGAGTATTTGGTCCGTAGCGACGATGGGGCTAATTTTTTTGCAAATGTAAAAAATAAGCCAATAGAACAGTTTCATCGATACCTTTTATCTTCCGTGAATTCATCCAAGACACAAACATTTTGAACTCCTTGTCGTAAGCATCTCGGAACTGTCAAAATCTGCATCGAAGCTTCTTCCGCTTCCGTAAGGATATTCTCAGAAACGTAATTTTCATCGGTTTCCTCCATTTTCTATACGTTTTTTTCTTCAAAAAAAGCTTCCCTTTTCTGCAGGGAAAACTGAAAAGTGTCAAAATTTATTTAAATTAAACAGCAAATTTTGCTAACAATCTATAATGTCCGTGGCAACGAAACAAACAACCTACTTTGACCAAAACGTAAAAAAGTCACTGTCAAGTCATTCTGACATTTATAGGGTACCGAGACGCAAGAAGCTTTGATTTGATCACAAAGCTTATTAATTATTATCTCATAAAAAACGATTTCTTTCACTTGTTTTATAAAACATTGTATGTGTGTTATGATTCCTAAGTCACTTGAGAATTTATACCGCTCGGCCTGACGGCCTCGTGGTATAAATCTTTCTCGCGTGACTTATTTTCAACATAACACACTAGTACCATAAATAACTATTATATTTTTTTGTAATGAAAATGGTTAGGATAAGGGGCTTTTTATTTTCAATTAATTTTTTTAAGTAAAATACTGTTTCTTGTAATTACTGGGTGTAATATTGGTTTTGCGTATATATAATAATAAAGATTAAAAAAACTGCAATTTTCTACGCTTTTATTATTTTATAAATCATTTAAACCAACAAAAATGGGAATGGACAGACAATTTTACATGTCTTTTTTTAAATTTTGCAGTTAAATATCGGTGACATTTCGAAATGTTCAGTGTTTTAACTTAATTATTCCTGATGGTATTTTTTAATTGCTGCAAACAATTTTAATGGGGTTTTGCAAAAAAAAATAGTAATAAAAAGTATTCGTAAAATTATTTCGCTGAACGAATTCATTTTAAAAATTCTGTAAAAATATCATGGTTTTAATTGCAGTGATGTATTTTAAAAAATGCATTTGTAAAACTAAAAAGCCTTAGGGTTTTAGTTTATTTTATTACTAGTTGAATTGTTGTTTAATTTTTCAATCTAATATTTTATTAGTAATTAGTAATTTTGGTCATTTGACTCGAGCATTTCTTCCAATGTAACCTTTGAATTTTGAGTGTAGTTTGAATACATTAAAATTATTGTCTATAAGTGAGTTAGAAAAAATAGTAAAGTCTTTAAACAATAAAAGTAACCCTGAAAATGTACTTAATGAAAAAATTTTAAAAATTACTTTTAAATCTACGGGAGCTGCCTTATTATCTTTTGTTAAAAATTCACTAAAAGGTGGAACTTTTCCATCGGAACCTAAAATATCTACAGTTGTTCCTATTGAAAAGGTTGCTCACACTGATTGTGCTAAAAACTTCAGACCCATTAACACCCTACCACCTATTGAGAAAATTTTAGAATTGGCTGTTTCCACCCAAGTTGTTAAATATTTTAACACCAACAATTTATTTTACTCACGTCAATCGGGCTTTAGAAAAGGTTATTCCTGTGAATCGGCCTTGCAACTTATTATTTCTAAATGGAAGTATTTAATTGATCAGCAAGAATTTGTTCTGGCTTTATTTGTTGATTTAAAGCTTTTGAAACAATAGATCCACACACGATGTTGCAAAAACTTAAATATTATCAGATGGGTGATAGGGTGTTGAGTTGGTTTGAGAGTTATTTAAAGGAGCGTAAACAGGGAACTAAAATTAATAATATCTTCTCAGAATTGAAAAATGTTAATCTAGGGGTGCCCCTGGGCAGTGTTCTTGGACCCCTTTTATTTCTGATATTTATCAATGATATTGGTTTTTTGCCAGATTTGGAGTTGTTGAATGTTTTTTTGTATCTTTTTGCTGATGATACGCTTATTGTTGTTAGCGGAAAAAATTTGGATAATTTAATCGAAAGAATGAACAACAGACTTAAAAAAAATTGTTGACTAAAAACATAAAAGTTCTAGATTAGATTTGGGTAGGGTGAATATTTTTGTTGAAGGTTAAAATATTGAGGTAGTGGACAGGATTAAATATTTGAGTTTTATTTGAGTAATATTGATAATTGTCTAAGTTTTAAATCAATCATACAACCCCACTTTGATTAATGTGCATCTTTGTTATATTTGCTTGATAATGCATCATTAGATTTACTACAAAAACTTCAAAATAGGGGAATGCGTATTATTTTAAGATGTAGTAAACGTACCTCTATTAACTTAATGCTTAACTTTCATGCATATAACACAAGAGGAACCAATAACTTCTATATTAATACTACAAATACTTATTCCGCAATGAATTAATTATTTTTTAAAGGGCTAAATGAATACAACTTGTTACCACAAGAAATAAAAAATTAAGAGACTTAAGCAACCTTTAAGAGAGCTTTATGTGCATTTTTGTTAAATTAAAAATTGTATTATGTTTATTTTTTTTGTAAGTAATTATTGTTAGATTAGATTGGGTGTTAAAATGTAATGTAATGTAATGTAATTTATTTAAAGAAATATTAATGTTTTTATAATTGTTTTTATTGATTGTATATTAGGATTTCCTTTTTAATATAGATTTATTTATTTATTTTAAAAGTGCATCATATTTTTCTTATTGCCTAGGGAACTGAACGAGCTCCGAAAGCCCTCTTCCGATAACCCCGACATCTTGCGGTTCTTCAAGTACATGAAGGCGGCCAAGGATGGCCAAGATGGCGAAGAATGTTTGGCGCACGGCGGTTGTCCTAACCTCAAAGCTAACGCACCTAGTCCGGCGATGCTCACCACCTTCAACGACATCAACAAGTTGGTGCAAGCGAGGAAGTTTCAGTGAATGTGATATTAAAAATATACATTTTTGAATGATTTATGAGCTGTTGTGGCTGCGTTATGCCATAAATATGGTGGAATCCTCATTTTTTTCCGAAATGTTTGACTCGACAAAATTTGTTTTTTTGATTAATTTTCAACCAAATAAACTTTTCGGCAATAATTACAGGAAATTTAGTGATTTGTGTAGAAACTTAAGAAAAACATCTTTTTATATCTCGATAAAAATATGAACACTTATTTAGGATTTTAAAAGTATAAACATTCTTCATAAATCTAAAAAACACAATACTGGCTCAAGTATATTTCGTTCGTATGATAAAAGAGAAGAGAGTACGTTATAATATTTTTAACATATCCTTTTTATACATATTTTTAATCATATTTCGATCTTACTAAACGATTTATTTATGATTTTTTTAATTAGAAAACGGTTTTTACACTTTGGGGTTTTTTATATTTTTTAAACGATAAAAAATAAAATTAAATGAGTAGTATATTCTTTATAAAATATTCAATTATCAAGAAAATTCTATTAAAAATTAAGGCTGATGTTAGTGTTATATTTTGATTTTAATAGAGGTAAAATTAATTTTAGATTATAATTAAAACCATTTGTTCGGTTTTACTTAATACGGTTTTACTTTTTGTGGTTTTACTATTTTTAACCCGAGATCCGAACCTAACCGACTTTTAGTAAATTTAGTAGAAAAACGTAATGCCGGATAATGTCAAAGGTTATCTCTCTAAAAATGAATTAGTCAAAAATAGTTATTAGTGGCTGCTTTTTCACTTGTACCATGGTTAACCATGGAATACAATGATATCCCAAAATTTATCAGCCAATTCTTATGTGAAATTGTCCCCTGAATCCGCAAATACCGTCAAAAGTTATGAAAGTGGAGCAGTTTTTGAGATATAGTCAATTCCGTATTAAATGGAAAATTGACTATATCTTAAAAACTGTTCTACTTTTTTAACTTTTGATGACATTTTCGGATTCAGGGGACAATTGTACATAAGAATTGGCTATTCAATTTTCGGATACCATGGTATTTCATGGTTAAATATGGTACAAGTGAAAAAGCAGCGACTAATAACTATTAAATTAGTCATTTTTGACTAATTCATTTTTAGAGATATTAGACATTTTTAAATATAAAAACAGATAGATTCTGAATTTGGCATACCAAAAAACCTTTAAAAAATTTTATACAGGATGGTAAAAAAGCAAAGTCACACTGTATAAATTCTAGAAAAGATTTTGCAAAAACATTTCGTTATTTCTTTTGCTTAGTTTTATTACTTTGTCTTATACAGAGTGTTCAATATTAAGAGCCAAAATGTTAATGAATAAACTATTTAAAATTATTCTTTAAGTACCAGCACACATTTGTATATTATGCCTCTAATTAAATTAATATTTTTATTTAAAATTCCAATATCTTTTATAATTTTTGACCTTAATTTGTAAACACTCTGTATAAGCTAGTAAAAAAACTAAGCGAAGTGCTGGAAGTGCTTAAAAAAATGTTTTTTTTTCCAAATTTGACCTTACTTTTTGACCATTATATCAAATTTTATTATAAAATTATCGTTTTAGGGGTTTTTGAAGTTCTTCTATTACTCATAGAAAGCCATGTAAATAACATATAACACCGAATTTTTGCCAATCAAAGTATAACACACTGTATATATTTTGTTAATAAAATATTTTGTCTAAGGATCATTTTTTAATGCAGTTATGGGTTTTAATTATATTAAAAAATAAGTTATACATTCAAGTTTTTCACTTTTCAAAACAAGGGCTAATTGAGCAAAATTATGGTTATTTTTGGAGGCGAACCCAAATAACCCTAGAAACCACCATGTGGCAAAGTACTGTATATAAAATATATTAATTTTAATTCTAAAAAAGGGTTTGTATTTCTGGTAGTAAAAAATACATTCTTAAGTCTTATTATATCTTTTAATAGAGAAGATATTAAAAAAAAGTTTCTGTAAAATTTGTATCTATATCTATATATCAAAATCTGAGTCAGAAACTCATAAAAGAAAATTTGTGTTATTCCTCCAGCTTTATTTAACATTTATTTGTTATTTGCGTCCAATTACGAATAGAATTTCCTGCCTCTAATTGAAATTGAATATTTTATCAAAATACGTTGGATAAAACAACAATATCGCTAATTTGATTTTATCAGTAGATCCGGAAATTAAAATACACTTTACAAATTTAATTTTCTCTGAAAGCGTTGTTTTTTTCTTATACTTTATTATTCTTTTGTAAATACCTATTTATTTATTTATTTATTTATTTATTTATTACTAAAATGTGACCTATAACTAAATGGTGTCCAGTGTAAAAATGGTTAATTCTTTGAATATTTATTGTAACTAAATGCTCAATAATTTATTATATTAATTTATTTATTTATTAAATAGCTTTAAGTAATTTATTTGTAACATATGTAATTGTGGCAATATTACTTAATAAATTAAATTAAACATACATTATTTTTACTTACACATCTATTAGGTTTTACAATTATATTATCTAAAAGCACCCCAACAATTACACAACCAATTTAATATATAAGTTTTAGATTGTGTGGTAAAATAAAATAATTCTACTAATTTTAATCCTGTAACGAGATAAGATAATTAAGGAAAAATAAATTATTTAATTAAATTAAATATGATATTTGATTGATAATGCTTACACATAATAATATCAGTAAAATTAATGAATATATTTTAAAATATAACTATTATTAGATTACAAACAGTGGATAGAAATCATACAAATTTATTATAAAGATGTTTATTTCGCGATTCATTTTCGTTTTTATCCCGTACAGAAAATGTTATAGACTGTTTAACCCAAAAACAACAATAAAACTAACTTTCTTTTGTTAGTTCAGCTGGAGCTTTAGCCCTATTAACTTGTCCAACTTGATGTATTTCTTAAAAGTTCAACACAAGTCAATAACTTCAAGATTACAACTTAACGTGTTTTTGTTATTTTATATTTGACTTTTTATGTAAGATGTTTGCGACAAACTTGACGCAAAAAGGTTTTAAAATTCTTTTTACATTAAAACAAAAGGTAACGCGACAAAATTAGCAAAATAGCAAATTAATTGAAATAGCTTGTAGAAATAGTAGGGTGTCTGTTATTTCCCAAGTTTTTTTTTTACTTTTACATGTTTAGAGTCTAAAATCAATATTGAAAACAAAATATTATTTCCCGATGTTGAGTAACCTTGCCTAGATAACATTTTAATGACATAAGAAAATTTTTGTTTTTAAATAACTTTTGAACTAGTTGAAATTTAATATTTTTTTATTATGTTGGTTACTGGGAAATATTCACTTTTAATCACATTTGGCTTATTTATAAATATAGTTTGTCAGGGATGGACTAGCTCTAACAAAGTAATGCTAATGCCCTGTAGTATAAAGGCACAGCAATAATATTTTTGGTCAGCTTAAACCTTAAACTAAAAAAGGTACTCTCAATCGACATCGATAAAATGTAGGTACTGTTTACCAAAAAAAAATGTTTTTGTACAATAGGGTTTTTTGCATTCATTTTTATCTTTTTTTAAATGTTTTTTTACATTTATTGATTTTAATAATGTCACTTAAAAATATAGTGTTTTGAAATTTTCTATCATTTTTCTGCTTTTCAGGGGCGTCCGTTATGGGCAGTAGTAAAAAATGTACGGGGTGTGTTCAGAAAATAACGGGAATTTTTTAATTTCGAGGGTTTGGAAAGTCCGGTTATCATAAAATTGTCTTTATTATGTTGGTATACATACCCCTGAAGAATGATAAAAATTTTAGATGTTTTCATTGTTTACTTTGTCTTTGGCATCCGCTAAGGTTAGACGTGTTTTTATGAGCTCGGCGATTTTCGTTCGTTAAAAGAAATGGATCAAAGAATTTGTATCAAATTTTGCGTAAAAAAAAATAAAGTGTGTGAAATATTAACAAAGGCGTATGGTGAGTCTGCTGAGTAAAACAAGAGTTTATAAGTGATATAAGAGTTTCCAAGATGGCCGTAAAGACGTCCCGGACGCCCAAGCACATTACCAACCGATAAAAACATGGAAAAAGTGGAAGAAATGGTTATGAAAGATCACCGAATCATAATCAGAGAAGTCGCTGAAGATGTTGGCATATCGATTGACTTATACCATGACATTTTTTCGATTGTTTTGGGTATAAAACGCGTGGCAGCAAAATTTGTTCCAAAATTGTTGAATTTTAAACAAAACTTTTTGCCAAAAACAATACTGTAATGATGCCCCAGCCTACATATTCGCCAGACATGGCTCCGTCTGACTTTTTCATATTCCCAAAATAAATAGAACCTTAAAGGGTCGTCGTTTTGCAAGCATTAAAAGCGCATCGCTGAAAGAAATAAAGACTATCCCAAAGATATTGTTCACGGTGGTCGGGAAGATAAAAAAAGTTTGCTTACATTGCCGACAAAATCTAGTGACACACTTAACTTTGTTTTGACTTTTATATTTAGGAAATTCTTGCCCAAAAATCAAAGCTCGTTTTTGCAATTTATTGATGACAAACCAAAATAATATGTCAGAAATTTATGTTTACATATTTGGACGTTGAAACTGAATCCGAAATTACTTTTTACTAATAAGCATTTACTATTTGCAATTAAATAAAAAAAATTAAAAAAATTCAAAAATTATTTTTATGTTAATAAAAATTTAAACAATCTTTACTTTTGTAAATCTTATAACATAGTTTTTGAAAAACGCAGACATAATTTATATAATTCAAATAAGCTCAGAAACTTAATCTTGATAATTTAAAAATCATTTAAGTATACAAAACAGAATTTGTCAAGAACTTGTTTTTTTAAATGTGAAATGATGAAAATTGAACGGTTGCAGCTTTTAATCTCTGAGAATAAGAAGGATCGTTAATTAAATTAATTTTATGTTTTTCCCAAAAGCTTAGGAACTCTCGATGCACGGACTCGCCGGCTTGCTCCGACCACTTTCCATGTTCTAACAATACATGTATTTTTAAAGTTATTGATACTCCTGTTGCTAGTAAGGCTTTTTTTAGCTCTTCGATGATTTTATCCAGGGCATCAATAGAGCCTCTTCTTTTAGTGGAAAAACCTAAATTTACCATTTTATTCATAGCCTTAAATGCAGATATAAATGGTACAAGAGCCAATATACCGACATTTTCATATATTATTTTATCACATAGTGCGTCAGCTTCTTTTAGTAATTTTCTTCATGCGTTCCCCTCAAAGATTTCCCCGTGATAATTTTTTGAAATAATTTTTAATTTTAAAGGCCATATCAGTGCTTTTTCTCTACCTAGGACTAGTACCAACCCATTCCAGAAAAGGTGGTTAACAAAGCCTTGCAGCAAATGCAATTCTGGAATATAGCATTTCTCTAATACTTTAACATCTTTATCTTCATAAAAAATTGGCTCATTTATTACACTGTGTGATTCTTTGGACATCTTCTTCCTCTTACCTAGAGAAACATACTTAGCACAATCTTGTTTTAAATCTCCATACGTTTTTAGTGACTTTTATCGTGACCTAATATTTGGCAGTCAGTTGTTTTATGG